CACAGACTTTATCAAAGTCGTCAAGCATACGTTCCGCTTGGCTAACGTTTTTGTCATAAGGACGATGTCATCAGCAAAGCGAAGATGGTGTAACCGCCGACTATCGATTTTCACTCCCATATTATCCCATTCCAATTTTCGCATGACGTTCTGGAGGGTGGTGGTAAATAACTGTGGCGAGATGGTATCGCCTTGCCTAACTCCTCTTTCGACGTCAATGTTAATAGCGTTGTAGAATGGTGATACCTTGGTTGTAAAATTTTTGTGCAGCTCACGAAAAATCTTTATGTACTGAGTAGAGACTCCTTCACTATCAAGGGCTTCCAAGACTGCATCTATCTCAGCTAAATTAAAGGCGTTCTTTAAATAGACGAAAGTGAGACGGAGTGGTCTTTTGCAATCCAGCGATACTTCAATGAGCCTTGTTACCGTGTGGATGTGGTCCAACGCACCAAATCTTTTTCGAAACTTGCTCACATGGCTGTCCTTCGTCTAGTGTTCTGTCAATCTTGTTTAGGATAACTCGAGTGAAAAATTTATAGACGAAAGACAGTAAGCAGATTGGGCGATAGTTGGCGATATCGCGTAGGTCACCTTTCTTGAACAATAACACGGTCTTGCTGATCTTCCACTGAGTACGGACGTTACATTCAGACAGATAACGTGTAACGAGCCGAACCAGTGTGTTTACGAGGACTGGCGGAACGTTCTTCAGGTGTTCTGGTCTTATTCTGTCCGGACGTGGTGCTGTTTGATTTTTCATCGACGAACTGGGATGTCGGATTTCAGAAGGGAGAACCGGTGGTACAACATATCCATCCCCTTTATTTCATATGACGGAAGGTGGACGTGGCTATCGAAGAGATCCGAGTAGTATTCGTAAATGATTTTCTCCATTGTCTTTCTGGACGCTGTAATTGTTCCGTCTGGGCGCCGGAGAGTAATCATTTTGGTTTGCAACTGGCGAAGTTTCTATGACCTTTGTGGATGCTTTCTCCAGTCCCTAGAGCTTCGATCATAACTGTTGCTGTTGTCTGTTTAAGATTTTCCTTTATCGCCTGTCCGCATTGTTTTGCAAGTTCGGACGTTAGTTCGCGGGTGCCTGCAGCTCATGCGATTCCATACTGGCGTGTCAGTCGAGTGTTTCTGGAGACAAACGTCTCTTAGTGACTTTCGAACTCTCAGACTTCATAGCGTTAACGTGAAAATGTTGAATGAGCCGATCGTATTCTTCATCGATGTTATCGACAAGAGCATCTTCCCAACAGTCAACGAATGAATTGAAAAAGTCCCAGTTTGCGGTGGTTCCGGAACTTCGGTTTTGGAATTTAGCGGCTTTTTCTCCTGTCCGCAAGAAATAAAATCTTGCACGAAGGACACGATGGCCTGGTCCTGTGTAGAATTTTGGGACAACAGCGACATCGGTTAGGCAAAACCTTCTATTTACTATGATGTAGTCTATTTCGTTATGGTAGTTTCCATTGGGAGACCCCCACGCCCAGCGCTGAGGGTGGGGCACCTGGAATTGCGAGTTACCATGGATTGTCTTGGTCGCCATGATAAACTTAGATATCCGCTCATCCTGCTCGTTCCGTTCTAATCCATGGGTTCCAATGTGACGCTCTTCATATGTTCTTCTTGGTCCAATTTTGGCGTTGAAATCTCCAATGATGAACTTGAAATATATATGGTTTTATTACAAACTTCTCCAAGTCCATATAGAACACTTCTACTTCTTCTTCATCATAGTTTGATGCTGGCGCGTAAACGACGAAGATTCTCAAAGCCGGAATTGATCCAATTGATCCACGTCTTTTTAATCGTAAACGTCCGATTTGGATTGTAGGCTGTTCGGATGAATCGATGTTCATGGACAAACTCGTGTTGACGCAAACGCCCGCGCCGCAGACTCCTCTGCTGTAGCATGTCCCGAGGAACAATTCTTCTCCGGTGCCATAGACGGCGTTGAAAGGCTGGCGTCTTCTCGTCTCCGCCAGGCCGATGACGTCGTACTTTATCCTTCTTGCTAGCATGAGCAAGTCGAGGACTCGGATTTTAGTGAAAGAACGTCTGAAATGACTTGAAAAACTAAAGGCATACTGGAAGTACGATGGAACTGGAACTATGAAGATTTGAAACTTTAGTTATCGGTGATTACTTGAGGAAGTCAAGCACAGGTCAAAGAATACAGGGCCATAAACAATCCTTGATCAAAGTGATGCAACCAGCAGAGAAGTCGCCCTTACCTTATTCTCAATGGATTCAAATCTCCATTACCATATCGATTCTGGATGTGCTTACACGAGTCAGTTAAATCTTAGAGTAGTGGCTGAGATCTCGATGATACCGTCTTCTTCACGGCCTCATCGATTCGACACTATTGTCTAATGTACATTGCGATTTCCTGGCAGTGTCCCAGTTTTCAAAGTAGTCTAGTCCATATTAATGATAGTCAATTCTGAAGACCTTACTATATTCATGCCGCAGCGTCTCACTCTATAAATAACAAAATATATATTGTCATTATTTAATCTGGCACATCACATCAACCTCTTAATAGCACGTTATTTTTAAACGATTTAGCATATAAGAGGGCCCTAAGGATATCTGTAATTCACAGATCTCAAGCTCTTTAGCCCTTAGACTAATGTGGACTCTAACTAGGCTAGGCGCTCCGCTATTAGGAACACAAACAAATGGTGGATACGATGTTCTACTCTAGCTCGTATGTGGTTTAGGCCGTAACTTGAGGCTGTGTTATGTTCCCTCCTCAACATTTTAAACGCCAATCGAGGATAAACTTTCCTGTGAATAAAAATAGCCAAATTATGGAGTTATGTCGTCACCGTAGGCAGTCGCCTGCCTTATTGGACCAAAGGGAAATCCGCCGTCTTGTGATTTCGATCCTTCCTAGACGACAATTATTCGTACGATAGATTAGACAAAGTTGTAGGATTAGTCGAGTCGACGATCGACAGTCATATAACGAGAGAGAAGCGGTTGTGAGTCATATCCTACAAATCAATTCGATATCTACTTATAAAGGGAAGACAATAAACTACTCACTTGTTCGTGAAGTGCAACAGTGTGATAAAGGATACAAGGATAAAGCTCTCGGCGTTGATCAATCCCTGACGGATGCTCCTTGCATTCGACTTCATTAGGCATCGTTTCGAAGTGGTTGAATGCATATCTGGCATTTACAATGACTCACGGTGGCTTACCGATGTATCGAGCCAGTGCCGCTATCCTCCCAGACAAGTCTGGTACCAGTCTGCCTACAGCGGATGGATGGAAGGCTTGGTGGGCCATGGGCGCTGGGATCGATCCTGTGTGTGTTACAGGGCACCTCCAACCACTGCGCCACATGCGCCCCACAACACTGTGATGCTGAGATAATTGCAAAACTTTCATCTTAGGCCAGATCGAACAGAGATTATCATTTCAGAGGGCTCACGTGTTACAAACGGTCACACTGAGGCCCGTGCTTTAACATACTTTCAGCTAGTATTCTACATAACGCTGTCATCGCAATCACTCGTCAACGGGATTGATCTGGGGAGCAGAAATCGACATTGAATCCAGTTAAGCTGAGGCTACAGTCGTATTCATTCGTTTCAACAACAGCACTTTGTCTGTAATCAATGGTATCTTTCTTACCAAAAACAAGAACAAAATTCTTTACTAGGAAATCTTGCTCCCCTTCGTGTTCTCCGACCAAGAATAGCATGACAGCATCTTTGGTCCTCGAAAGGGAATAACTACCTTAACGGTGGTAGTTTGAGTTAGAAGACAACAAAAAGGATTTCGGTAATGATGAAAACCACTGCGGTGTTGATCTTCCACAACACAAGCATTCCATAGCTTTGACGATGACGGTAGCGAACTATCGAGGATAGGATACGATCCATACAATCCACCATGGTTACCGGTTCCATTCCAAATGAAGTGTTATATTTGGATTCCATGTGAAGATTTATATACGCTTTGATGTGATCTGAAGGGCGCGTGCAGTGCAGTGGTTGGAGGCGCCCTGCAATACACATGAAATCTATTGTAGCGTCGCAGCTCAACAAGCCTTCCATCCCACCTGGGTCGGCAAATTGGTACCAGACTTGTCTGAGAGTATAGCAGCACAGACTCGACATACCGGTAGGCCACAGCGAGTCATTGTAAAGACCAGATATGCAGTCAATTACTTCCAACGATGCTTAATGAAGTCGAATGCATGGCGCATCCCTCACGGATTGATCAATGCCGAGAGCTTTATCCTTTTTCATCCTTTTACGTTAACTTACGAGTCAAGCGAAATGGTAGTGCAGATAGATCATGGAGTTGTCAGTAAACGAGTAAACTTGAAAACAAGTGAAAGTTAACGGAATAAAACAGATATCTGAAGGCTTATCGATCGATATGAACGTGTGCCAACAAGGTATATTCTTCTCATTCCCATACGTTTATATGTATCTGTAATTAATACCGTAATATCTTCTTCATTAAAGACTTCACAGATCTCTAGTGTTCTATTGATCGTACGGAATGATGGATTCTTCGATACAACTTCTACCTGAGTAAAAGCAATAGGTAATCGACAATGAGTATACGTTAATCAATACAAAAACTACCGTTCAAATGGGAACAGTAACTAGTACTTAATAAGTAACCGCACGATGTTGAAACGTTGTCAAAAGGATATTTGAATTTCCCGCCTACTACCGTAAAGCGACGATCTGCACGAGACAAGACATGGATTCTAAGCAGAACTTTCGCGTACCGCCCGCCAATCGGCGCGCTGATGACTGGACTTTTGTTGCCATGTTTTACCCTAGGTGTCTGGATTTTCCTCAGTTTCTTAACGGATTATTGTTAAGTGATAGTTACTGGTCTTATCGGAATGTATTCATGTACGTTCTGGTTGATTTACATCCTGAAATTTTCAGTTCTTGCGGCTCATCCGCTTGTGTACCGGGTTACCTGCTCTATTCTTTCATACATAAATAATGGCACTGAAAAGAATCCAAAAGGTATGTTACAGAACTATTCTATCGCAAGGAAGGTTACGTTCACACCTTTCCATCCGTTGCGATCGATATCGCTATTGAGTGGTGCGAGCAATATCGATTTTTGAGTGCATTACTGCGTTTTGTTTTAGTTATCTTGGATTTGCCCCTATTTACAGGAATTACAAGATCTGGGACGTGATCCACCGGCTCAATGCTCCGCTGGACCAGTAGGCGATGATCTGTTCCATTGGCAAGCTACAATCATGGGACCTCCAGAATCACCATATCAAGGAGGAGTCTTTTTCCTGACTATACATTTTCCTACAGATTATCCTTTCAAACCACCAAAGGTAGGATCATTGAGTGGCGATCAATGCGTTTATTGATTGCCATTATTTCTTCCATGTTAGTGGGTGTACTGGTTTGCTCGCATGTTGTTGACAAGAAAGGTGTAGAAGACATATAGCTATAACGAGTACCTACTTAAATACTTGGATGGCCCGTCTTCACTGGCTCTGCGGGGCCCACCGTAATTTCCACCTTTCCGGAGTTCTGCTGGCTTATCCATTGTGGTTCTGCGGAGTTTCGAGGTTAGCCTGGCCAAAGTCTGCTCCGGGATAACGAAAACTAGTAGGAAGTACAACTTTTTCTCAGTATTGTTCAAACTAGGCATTACGGAAGTGGCTTGCAGCTGGTATATTGGTAGATTTTTAACAGAGATGTGATAATGTTGGGATTAATTTGCTTACGATAGTCTTGATCGCTGCCAGAGGAAGTTTGTTTTTTCTGAGATTATTGCTTTAAACCCAAAGTGGTGCCTCACTAAAGCACCGAAGCGGATATTCCATCACTGTCAAATAAAATGTGGATAACTTCTCATATAAGTCTCCTTTTTTGGGATACGTTTTTGATGTGGTAATGATTGGTGAAATGTTTTATTCTTACGGTCTGTGATACTTTTTGAAGATTCCTAGTTTTTTGGACAGTGCTGTTTTCTTTGCAGAAGGAGTACTTTTCCACAATACCTTCTTCCCACATGCCGTTTAGGTTTGTCCCGGGTATGGTATTAGTTCAGTGTACGGGCACAGTATTTCGTCCAACTGTAACCCTTATTTGAAAGCTGTATGAGGTCGCGATAAACAGTCTGTTCTTGAACTGAGAATGGATATCTGATTACTTCTTCCTGCTACGCCAAAATTATTTTGGAGCTTAAAAGAGTTCTGCTGTATACTAGTTAATCAACCTGAAAGTTAGGAACATTATAACATAGTCCATCGATTGTAAAATTAGAGGTATTATAATCTTTCATTTTTGGATTTAGTATGGATACTTGAAAATTGGTGCTGTAGTGGTATCAGTTTTGATCAATATAGTCAATTTCCGCTACTTTCTTAGCCGCAGGTTGCCCTCGCATATTCAATTCACTGCCTGATTATATTTGTTTTCCTTTTTAGTTTTTTAATGTATAGTGTTTAAAACTGGTTGACCCCAGCGCCTAGGTCTTAAATAGGCTTTAAGTAGGTTTAAATAAGTCCCTAAGTAAGTAGGGTTTAAATAATTGCATCGTTCAACTTTAAATGAACATATTTGGGCTCATAGGTAACTTCGTTTATCCAAATGGAAGTTTATCTAAAGTACAAACCTTTGACAAGAAGACATAGTTACTCTGTTTTATCAAGGTAACGCACCATTTTCTGGAGACGATGTTTTTTTCATTATTCACGTAGAATATTTTAGGACTAAATTTCGTTCTTAGTTTCTCTGTGTAAGTCTGAAGCAAATTTAAAGTTAAAATATCATTTTAGGAGACGATATGCACACATTAAGTGATTGGACAAGGTTCTTGCTAACATGTCAAATATTCAATTATTGTAATTTTTTGGAAATTATTGTAAGAGCGGACCAATACTGGGATCCATCACCGTCGCGGTATCAAACTTGTCGCATGGTGGCAAATCTCCCTCTGATCCACATGGGCAGCAACTGCATGTGCTGGTGACGACCTGGGGCAGACTTTGACTAGGCTGTCGTCGGGGCTTCAGGGAACCACGATGGCTAAGACGGCAATTCTCCAGAGAATAGAAAGTAAGCTAGGGCCTGCACAACCAGTGAAAACGGGCCATCCAACTAAGTAAGTAATAATGTAAAAGCGACGTAATCTATTGTGCATTAGTATCTGTAGAGTGTATGTTCGCATATTTGCTATAAAATTGGGTAATATTAACTGTGAAGATGCGCGTGGCGTAGTGTTCGGAGACGCCGTGCAATATATACGGGATCAATACAAGGCTCTAATCTCACCAAGCCTTCCATTACATTATTTTTCGAGCTCGGCAAATTGGTACCAGATCCGTCTGGGAGGATAGCAACACTGGCTTAATACATCAGTAGACCACCACGAGTCATTGTAAAACGCCAGATATGCATTCAGTCACGCCCAACGGTGCTTAATGAAGTCGAATGCACGGTGCACCATTCAGGGATTGATGAACGCCGAGTGCTTCTTTTTATTACTTGTACAGAATAAATGTTATGGGTTAATTGTTTGAATTTTGCAAGGGCCATTGAGTTTTAGCTTCCATTCAAATTTTGTGTAATAACAATCCGTTGGTGAGTGTAAATTGAGCATTAGTGTTAATGACACTTTGTTGAAATATTAAAATAAATCCCCACGACTGACTTACTACTAATCTGGGCATTGATCAAATAATTCTTTGTATTCTTGTTGAGCAAACGCAGGGTGTTACTTCTATTCTTTATTCACGAATAAGCGTCAGCTTACTTAAACTTCAGCTTATTCGTGAATAAAAAATAAAAGTAACACCTCGCGTTTGCTCAACAAGAATACGAAGAATTAAAATAAATAGCAGAGGTCTGTAATAAACATCTAATTAGTAGTCTTTCGAAATTCTATGGCGACCGAATTGCGTCTGAATTCTGGAAATTTACAATCGTAACCCTTTTATCTACTGCCTTTTTTCTTTTTAATGGCAGGGTATATCGCGAACTATAACTCGTATGTAATGCTGAGATATTTGCAAAACTCCGGAACTCAGGTGTATGCGGTGGGGAAATTTAGTTAGAACTCTACTATGGAGCACTCCTTTGAGGATTTTATTTGGCCACCTTTCTATTGTATATTTCAAGGTCGCTTTCACAACGAGGATCTACCATCCAAATATAAATTCTAATGGCAGTATTTGCTTGGACATACTGAGATCGCAATGGTCACCAGCTCTGACAATATCGAAAGGTATGTTTGGTTGAGTACGGTGTGAAACACGTCCTCATATGTTTTGTTATAGTTCTGTTGTCAATCTGCTCACTACTTTGTGATCCTAATCCCGACGATCCTCTCGTTCCTGAAATCGCTCGAATCTACAAAACTGATCGTGATCGGTATGTTCCTATTACTTATTTACTCCAGTGTATTAGTTCTTTGCAAATTAATATCTGATCTGGACTTGTATTTTCGAAGTAGCATATCTCAGTTCACAGTCAACTTCATTAATCCAAATTAGAGCTGTTAGAATCCACGTATTTTTTTTTCAAACGAAAATCGAGTTTATTTATATCAGTTTCATATGATCCCGGAACTCAAGAGTTCTATTACTCTGTCGCCAAGTTCTGGACCAGCTATGTTCGCTTACAAGAAAGCCTTAAGCTGGTTGTCAATAGCAGAAAGTCGTTAGCGACCTCTTTAATTTTGAAAACCGGATTTGCCGTGATAAAGTTTTCCAAACCAATGTTGCAGTGTGTTCGATGCACCTCTTGGGCCCCACACCCTATTAATGTTTTGAGCGCTTTAGCTGCACTACATAAGGGTTTGAACTTGCAGAAGTAGATCTGTCGAAGTTGCTGTTCTCATATCTGAAATTGTGGCCGTTAAAACTTGTTAAAAACACAATTTTTTATAGCTTGGTTGTAGGAAGCAAAAGTGCATACAAAAAATGTTATGGTGGTGTATAAGAATACGCTGTTAATAATAATAATAATATAACAGTAATAGAAAATAGTAGTGTTAATAGTGGTAATGACAATAACGACAGTGGTATTGGTAGTGGAAATAAGAATAGTGGTAGTAACAATAGTAAGAATAATGATAATGACGACAACAACAATGATAATAATAGTGGTGATAATGTTAGCAAGAATAGTACATGTCTCGAAAGAAAACCATTGGTAAAGCCTACACAATAGCGTGAGATAAATTTGACATTAGTTTCCCAGCAACTTAATACATTCTATCCTGCTCTCCTAATGAAACATGGTTACTAAAAAAAAGGTTTGGGAAGAAAAGAACGAGTAAAAATATACACGTGAGAGTGAGACTGTGACTTTGAGACCGTTTAAATCAATGTGTTGGGAATAAACAGAGAAAATCGAGCGGGCGCAGTATTATGACAACAGGTTTATTTAGGAAGCTTGAATGTTTTACTCTTTAAAACATAGGAGGTTGTCATCTGAATACAGAAACAGCTTAGATTTTCACTTTCTCTAGACAGTTTTGCTGTTCATTTGAGGGAAATAACAAGAAAGAGGAGCGTCCTCTTTATCATTTATTCCAAAGCTACTCCAAAAGTTCCAATCTCTAGGGAGAGTAAAGGTTTATTTGTTTTTTTTTTAAATTAAGATTGAATTTTAAATTTTTTCTGTAAAACTTTCTCGCAAGATTTTAGCACACTTTTTGTATGTGAGTATTGCATACAGTGCTGTATATTTTTTAAAACTACATATCCTTCCTCGTGTTCTTAACTTCGTGTTTTTGTCCATTGTATATTCCTTTCAAAACATTGGCTCTTAGGAGACTGAAAAACCCTATGTAGTTGCTGATTAAAAGGTCATTTTAAAACAGTGACAAACGTTGGGCATTACTTTTGATAAGGATTAAGGACAGTTCAATGAAAGTTAGATGGGTGGGCCGTTGGTCACTGAGCCATTTATAAAGGGGTCATGCATTCGACGCCATCAGGCATCGCAGGGTTGCTTGAATGCATATTTGCCCTTATGGAGTGATTATAGGGGGCCTACCGATATGACAAACCAGTGTTCTTATCTTTCCAGACAAGTTAGGCACAAATTTGCCGACACCTCAGGGATTGAGAGCATAGTTGGCTCAACTCGCAGTGGCAAGCGGCGGATATTGGTGTGTCGTACGGAATCTTTATCCGCTACAATACATGTGCTCTTTTTTAATGGCTTATGAGCGAATGTGGTAGCGTTTTTAAAGTAGAAACTGCATTTTGTGCCAAAATTGCAAAGGAGTTGTCTATCCTTCTTTTTAAAGAAGGAGTGATTATTTAGTAAAGCCCTGTATTTTCTTTATTTTCTTAAATATGAAGATACAACTGTAAAATTTTCTTGAAGAGGTTGTGATCAACAGTATTTTTAACTAGCAGCATGAAATCTTACCGAAATGTATGATTTTTCCTACTATGGGTACATATTTCTACCATTTTCTCAGATTGAATGAACTTTCCTTGCTAGTACATTCGTTAATTGGTTTACTATGAGCTGCACTACACAAAATGCCTTATTGTTCTTGAGGATAGACGTGTAACCTGGTGTGTTAGCTTTCGTGAAAATTCCTTGTATTTCTGTTCTCTTGAGAACCTTTCAATATTTAGGAGAGTAATAAGAACTAACAACTATTTCTGGTTTTAAACTAACTGGAAATTTACGCGTTTTTTTTTTTTTTTTTTTTTTTGAAAGTAGAGTCATTTTGTGCATTTCAGATACAATCAATTGGCACGTGAATGGACGCAGAAGTATGCAATGTGACCACCGCCATGCTTCGACATTCTGTAAAAAAGACCTTTTCAATGTCTCCAGTCCCAATAATGTCTTTTGTGTTTGTTGGAGTTTGCTTTTCCTCTATTCGTATCCGGTTTCTTACCGTAATCTATTCTTTCGGAAACGTAACAAGAGATAAATTTTTCTTACTTGTTTTTTTTTTCGCAACGAACTGGTGTTGGTAGAATTTCCACATTAAATTTACCACGTTAGTCAGTTGATAGGTACGTTCATAGGATGGTATTCTAGTAAACGTGCTCATGTCTCACTTCACTTTCGTACCTTTCTGCACGTTTGTTGACACAGTGTTTTGGGCTGAACTGAACAGGAGGAAGTTAAATGAGTGGCGTCTTGATGAAACGCCTCGTGAACTGGGTGGAATGATTTCTTTGTGTGAGTTTGAGGCTTTGCATTTATCATTGCTAAAAGGGATTTGGGAAAACTTTTCATGCGTTGAGCTGTGTTGGTTCAGGGGTTTTAGTTTTCTTGGATCCATTTCCTAGTAATTGATTGTAATATTATGTAGTAATATAGTGGTAATAAATAATCTTCGCAACGGTATACAGCCTTATCGTGGCTGGGAGATTACAGCCTTATTGTGGGTGGGAGATGTTTTAGGTGTCGGGCTGCGTTTTCCAGCAGGGAATTCATCCGTCAACTAGGGTCTCCCAAGTTGAAGACTACGGCGTTTTCATCAGGAAGCCTAGTTAGAAGTAAACAGTACAAGGATCTACCACCGTCCTGGTATCAAAATAGCCGCGTGATGGCAAATTCTCCTCTGATCCACAAGGACGACGACTATCTGTGGTGGTGACGACCTGGGGCAGGCTTTGGAAAAGTTGGCGTCAGTACTCAATGGAACCGCAATGGCTAGACCAACAGGCCTCCGAAGAAATGGAAATTTTGTTGGGGGCCACATAATCAGTGAGGATGGGCCATCCGAGTATCCACGTATGTAATAGTATGTTATAATCAATTGGTGGGATTGTCTCCATCAATAAGCTGTTGTTCAAATTTGACTTCAACGTGTTGGTACTGTGAGAAGAGGAGAACACCGTGGAATTACTTATTTCACTCGAAAATTCGAGGTCCATTAGGAGGGAAAGGTTACCATTTCGGGCTTTTATGGTGAAGATCTCCCGAGTTAGGGTAAACAAGTGTTTTTGTTTCTGATGAAAAGGTGTTGTATTGAGTGTTATTTACACTTATTGAGGAGAAGTATGATATGCCAAGGTGGAGTGTGGGTTGCATTCAAAGAAGAAGAAGAAGATTTGTTATTTTAAAGTCGACTGTACGGGTGATATGTGCCGGTTATCGCTCAGCCATGAGAGCTTTGAACCGTCGTTACCTGGGGCATATAGTGGTCGACTTCTGCTTGTGAACACATTAGATAGCTTCAAAAGACTGGATCGAAAAGCACTTCTCGTGGATGAAGCGATGAAGGTGCGGTTGAGTTTTCTTGCTTGTTTGTCGTTTTCTCAATTCAATGTCCTTCGAATATTTTTTACATTATGTATCGTTGTACTAGCTGAAAGGTCATGTACAGCCACAGTATAGTTTTTAGGTCTGGGAAAATATCAAGTCCGGTATGTGGCTTGAAGAGCCGATTTGTTTGATGCCTTTTACGTTCACTGTGTTCGCCGACTTAAAGAAGTTCCAATATCATTACTGGAATTGCTATCCAGCCATCTGTTACCCAACGAATATTAGACAAGAGGTACTTTTTGTTCACTTTGGATTTTGATTGGAATGTTTCGTTAGAATGAATTTTTTTGCTACTCGAGATTTGACCATTGGCACTTCTGGTTTAGTTAACCCTTTCACGACCGCGCCCTTTTTCGCATGCGCATTGAAACCAAGGTGTGCGATTCGAAGCGTACAGTAGGGTACTACGGATTTCCTTCATGTTTGGGAAGGATAGGGAGTAAAATACGGACCAACAGTGTTTAGGTGTATTGCCCACTCTTATGCCGTAATGGTGTCGGGATGTATGGTTGTCTGTATCTGCGGCTTCATATTAGCCTCTCTTATGTACCGACGGCATATATATATATATATATACACCTAAATCTAATTACTTATATACTTAATTACTTATATACCTAAATCTAATTACTTTGAACTTAATACTGTAGCAAACTTACCAAAGCGCGGTAAGCTTACGTAGACTTAATCGCTTTATTAGTAAAAATAAAAATCTTCACACGATAATTTCGAAACCGACCGCCATTTGACGTGATAGCTGTTTTGCTACCCTTGTTTGTCAAGGGAGAACTCATTGGAAGCTGTGACACACGAAACGAACGAACAGCGAATGCTCGCAAGAGCCATTCACACAGCCTGACATATCCGCTCTTTCAAACGAACTTATGTCATCGCATAGTCGATTTTCTAAGTTGTAATGGAAACAATAGCTATGTACAATTTTACATTCATTCCTGGTAACGCCTACAAAAAACGGTTGAGAGGAAGGCGAGACGAGGGACACGTGGTGTGATGGTGAACACGTTAGGTTCTGGCAAGAGTGATATGATGTTCGTTCCTACCGCAGACACTTGCGATCTGGAGTTTTGTAAATATTTCAGCATCGTTGCGGTTGTATGCAATAGTTTTGTATTCTTCAGATATATTAATTTTTTTTATAGCGAAGATCTCACCGAAAACGTTGATATATGTGGATATCGCGCTTGAATCAGAAAATTTGGAATTTTAGGTTTTCTGAAGGTACTTGCGCTGAAAAAAATTAAAAACGAAATGCTGTGGAAGAGTTTATACATCTAAGGTTCTTACGTGTTTCAAGCCTTTAAAACCTGTGATTGTCGGTAAATTACAAAACGTTCTGTTGCGCTCTCTGTATTCCACAAATTGCCGTAATGCGGTGTAAAAAAATATATCTTTCTTTATATCTTTCTATTCTAAAATATCTTTCTTTATTTTAGGAATCTCATGCCATTGAAAATGAAAAGCTAATGTATTATTTTGACCACACGAAAGCTCATGCTTTTTTGGTTAATCGCGTTGGAGATTGTTTACCTCTACTGAATCTAATAAATATATGTGATCCTGCAGAAGTGAAGGTACTTTTATTTGCCCTTTGTGCATCAAGCGTTTGCTGAGTTAGCCCTATTTTTAAATCGCCATGGACTTTCAGGTGGTCTTCGCTGACCCATCACCCGTTCCAGGCTGTGCTGGATGGCCTCTTCGTAATTTATTGGCCGCAGTTGCATATTTCAAGCGTACATGGCGCTGGTGTTCTTTTATTTCCTTGCGAGGAGTCCACCGATTATCGGAATTCAAAATTTCGTGGGATGAAACTGAAGTATGTTGTTTTTATAATGGTGCTACGTATTCCTAGTGTCTCCTTTTTATCTGTCGTCCTGTTGATCTTCGAGTAGATCGAGTAAACGCGCTAGTAAACTTCGCATTTTTTTCTTTCTAGTGCTAGATTAGCCCAATGGGTTTTACTCGCTCTAGAGATCCGTACGGCATCATATCTTTTTTCTGGGGTTCTCGCGATGAGCTCTGACCGTAGTGGTGTTTCTGCAGTGCGTTTTGACATCCCCAGGAATCCAATCACTGACTACTTTTGTCTATTAGTTGTCATTCAGATGCATCACTTTGTCCTCTCCACCTCACCGACAGTTGACGTATAAAACGGCTTCTCTGGTTTTTGATTGTTGACGTAGGTCAAGGCTTCAAATTCCCTCCCTCACTTGCGTGATACGAGGTGCTCCTAACATCGGCGTTTCGACTGTAATCTGAGTGGTCTTCCATACTGCTTACGTAGCAACCATGTTTCTGACGCGTACGTTGAGAAAAGAAGAATCGTGCAGTCAAAAAGGTGGACAGGAGTTTGGTGCTTTTTGTTTTCTTCACTACATCCTCGATGCTTTTGAAAGCTCCCCAAGCCGCTTGTTTCCTTCTGCTCAACTCTGGAACTAAGTCGTTCATCATGTTTCTTTCCCAACCTAGGCAGGCATATATAGAGCATTCGGAGATATTCATTCCTTTGAGCGTAAACGTAAAATCAAAAACAATCACCTTCCTCTTGACCATTGCTTTCATGAGTTTTGATGGAAGAACGTTCCTACCACAGGCGATGCCAAAGTCGGAAAGCATTCATTTCGCTTGGCTAATGCTTAATGTTATATAGTCGACGTCATCAACAAAACGAAGATGGTATAATTGCTTGCCGATCATCGACTTCCACTTCCATATTCTCCCATTCCAGTGTTCTCGTGACATTGCTGAGGGTGGCGGTAAATAGTTTTGGAAAGATGGTATCACCTTGCCTAACCCCTCTTTTGACGTCGATGTTAATATCTTTGTAGAATGGTGAATTGTCGTTGCGAAATTATGTAGATCAAGAAGAATTCATATTGAGTAGAGGCTTCTTGACTATCAAGGGCTTCCACGACTGCTTATGTCTCAGCTGACTCAAAGGCGTTCTTTAAATAGACGAAAGTGGGACGGTGTGGTCTTTCGTACTCTCGCTGTACTTCAGTGAGTCTTGTTATTGTGTGGATGTGGTCCATCGTACTAAATCCTTTCCAAAGCCTTTCTTGCTCACATGGCTGCTCTTCGTACGGTGTTCTGTCAGTCCTGTTTAGAATGACTCCAGTGAAAAGTTTATAGACGACAGACAGCAAGCAAATTGGGCGATAGTTGCTGATATCGTGGAGATCACCCTTTTTGATCAATAGCACGGTCTTGCTTGTCTTCCACTGAGTAGGGACCTTGCATTCAGACAGGCAACGTGTAGCCGAGCCAGTGTGTTTACGAGGACTGGTGGAGTGTTCTTCAGATGTTTATCCTTTCTCGGGCAGGTGTAGCTCGATTCATCAATAACCAAATAGCATATCACAATTGGGAGGGGAGTACCGGTAAGCCGACTTGTCCATCTTCGTTCACTTCGTATGGAAGTAGGTGAATGTGGCTATTGAGGAAATCTGAATTGTAATCGTGAAAGATTTCCTCCGTTGCCTTTCTGGAAGCTGCAATTGTTTCATCCGAGCACCGTAGTGCAATCGTCTTGGTTTTACAACTGGCGAAGCTTCGGTTGGCTTTACGAATGTTTTTCCCGGTCTCTGAATCTTTGACCAAACTGCTGGTCTTCATTTAAGATCTGTTGTTGCCTATCCATATTCTTCTGCAGTTTTTGAGTTAGCGGTTGGTTGCAGCTCGTGCGATTCCACGCTGGCGAATCAGCTCGAATGTTGCTGGTATACGGGTTACTGATTCGAATACGTAACTTTCCGGCTAGGTTTCCACTCGTCTTGAAGTGCGGTGTTTGATGGTTTTTGTTGCATCCGCAGTTTTAATTCCTAACCGCTTAAGGCCGAAAAAAATTTGTTTTAATACAAACGGTAATTTCAACGATGCTGAGATATTTGCAAAACTCCGGAATGCTGCAGCTGTCTGCGGTGGGGAACGAACGCGCTGTTACCCTTTCGGGGGCTGAGGTGTTCACCACTACACCACGCGGGTCCTTTGTTTCGCCTGTCTCTCAACTAGTTCTATCGATCAGTGCTATCAGCAATCACCCGTCGACAGGATTGATCTGGGAAGCCCAAATCGGCGATGAACCCAGTTAAGCTGAGGCTGTAATCGAAGTCGCAATGTTAACTTTTCAATTACTGCTTATTACAACTTTCCACGGCAAGATGGTATTTGTGATACAGCCACAAACTGTTAACGTTTATTGCCAATGTGGGCTCCGAAGATCGATCCTGTCGGCGGGTGGCACTGATCGATAGAACTAGCTGAGAGACAGGCGAGTGAAGCAAAGGACCTGCGTGGTGTGGTGGTGAACGCGTTAGCTCCCGGGAAGGACAACAAGGCGTTTCCCACCGCAGACACCTGTGGTCCGGAGTTTTGCAAATGTCTCAGCATCATTGAAGTTATATTTCGCAGCATACCTTGCCATTAAAAAGAGAAGGCAGTAAATAATAAGTTGAAATTGTGATTATAACAAACTGTAATGTTCTTTAATGCTTTCCTTTATGAGGTGTTTATTTCGTGAAATTATTTTATTTTACGTGACCTGGGGTGCTTTTGTGCAGTAGTTAATGGTACCTTGTAATATAAACGTGGTGTTGGCTTGACATCACGCCCCAGGCTCGCCAGACCTTGGCATAGGATTTCTCTGGGAGGATAGCTGCGCGGATTCTATATATGATGAGGTCACCGCAAGCCATTTTATAGGCGAAATATGCATTTAATCATCTCTAATGATGCCCAACGAAGTCGAATGCATAACGCGGCCCTTAGGCCTTCATCAACGCCAATAGTCTTTTGACATCACCCAACGTCACATGTAAGTATCCCAACACTTCCATCATTCCCTTTTTCCTTTTCCATTTGATTCCTTCTCTAACGCTTGTCGTTTACGAAGATTTTTGTATTTGCGTGTAAGTTAGGCTGTTCTCTGAAGACTTTTAGTCCGCTTTATGAATATCGAATGTTGGGTTGGCTGTTCTAGAGTTTTCCGAGATCTCGATCACATAGAGGTGATACTTTTTGTGAACTAGATCAGTCGGGATGATCCCAGTTTTCTAGAGTACCATAGGGATGGTTGTGCAGGGGTTGCCTAGCCTAGTGCGGGGTCTAACCATGGCCGCGCACATAAGGTTTGACTGCTTCTTGAACTACCACGATATTTCTTAGGTAAGTCAGCTTCCTGCTAGTGTCGGATGGGAGAGAAACAGCGAAGGAAAGTTGCTTTCCCAGTTCGTTGATATGCGCCAACAATTTGATCCTAAAAAGTGGGTTATTTTCAAGGTTTTATTGGTGCTTCTTAATTTCTTTTTAATGTCTTCGGTTTTTTGTTCCTCATGCCTTCTTTTCCTAGGTTGATGGAACAATCCATCGAGCTTAATCTATCACTGATAAAATGGCGACTCGTTCCAGAAATGCAGTTGGTGCGCTGTACGTCACTTAAGGTACAACTGAGAGTCAAAATATGACATTTTTCCTTGTATCGTTTCAACTTACCTTACCAAAAGACCACCAAGCTACTGCTGTCCACCGATCGCTTTTATTTCTCTTTCCGTAATGGAGGCTCTTATTTCGAACAATGGAGTGGTTGAACAAGCAGAATGCAGCACAGCACGCTGGGATCCACGAAAAACTTGTTGATACAACTTTTCAGCTTTAGAATGTTGTGGATTGAAATTGTATTCTAGTATATTTATGGGACTTTGAAGAACCCACACCATAATGTTAGAGGTGATAATCTCAAGTGGAGAAGCAGTTTTACATGAATACCTATACAGCAGTTTAAATTGTAAAGAACATTCTCGCCAAAAAGTGTTCGCTTGCTTATGTTTTTGTTTCACCTACATAAAACTATATTTATAATTAGTATTTGGAAAAGTTATAAAAGAAGTCCTATATGTGACACTACATTTAGTAGAAATAGGTAACAACACGCTATATGTTCAGTAGGTTGGTTTCAGTGTCTACGGTTTATTTGGTAATACTCAATTTCACGTCAACCACTGGGCAGAAAGTTCATATATCTTAACTGGACTTGAAAATTTTATTGGCAACATGAAATCCTGATTTTAATTTCAGGTACTCATATTTGGTGCTGGTACACTTGGAAGTAACATTGCGCGATGTCTTATGGGTTGGGGAGTTAAGAAAATCACGTTCTTGGACAACTCTTCAGTGAGCTACAGCAATCCTGTGCGGTTAGTACTTTCCAGCGCTTATTTATCGGTTAGTTCGGGTGGATAAAAGTACTGACTCGTCGCACCACCGAAATTCCATGTATAGCTTAAACGTGCATTCAGCCACATCTATGATGTTTAGAGAAATCGAATGGATGCACCAACAAGGTGCAAATCAACACCGTGCATGACATTATATATGTATATGTTTACGTATATCATCTGAATCACCTATAGTTCCATTGATCGTCGAGTGACTCGAGTGGGTGCAAGTAAATCTTCTATTTTTTCCTGTCGCGTGCAGGAGTGGCCCAGTGGGTTCTGCTCGCTCTAGGAACTCGTCGAGTATCATATCTTTCTTCAACGCTCTTTGTGAAGAACTCTGACCATACGGTCAGTGGTCTTCCTGCAGTCCGTTTAACATTCCGAGGAATCCAGTCACTAACGGCTCTCGTCCATCGGTTGTCATTCATACGCATTACGTTTACGGCCCACCTTATCTTCGGCTGTTTGCCGTACAGAACGGTATCTCTGGTTTTTGATCGTTGACGCAGGTGGGAGGTTCCGATCTCTTCCCTTACTTGCGTGACACGAGATACTCCTAACATCGTCCTTTCGACTGCGCGTTCGATAATGTTCAGTGGCCTTCCATCCTGCTTACACAGCGACCAGGTTTCTGACGCATACGTTTAGGCAAGAAGCACCGTTGAGTCGAAAAGTTGGGTACGGAGTCGGGTGTTCTTTGTTCTCTTCACTACATCCTCGATGCTCTTGAAAGCTCCACAAGCCGCTCGTTTCCTTCTGTTCGGCTCTGGAGCTAGGTCGTTCAACATGTTGATTTCCCGACCTCGATAGCTGGAGCATTCGGAGATATTCGTTCCGTTGAGGGTGAATGGGGCATACGAAACCAGTTCGTTCCTCATGAACATCGTTTTTGTGAGATTTAGTCGAAGACTAATTTTTCCACAGGCTTTGTTAAAGTCGTCAAGCATACGTTCCGCTTGGCTAACGTTTTTGTCATAAGGACAGTGTCATCAGCAAAGCGAAGATGGTGTAACCGCCGACTATCGATTTTCACTCCTATATTATCCCATTCCAGTGTTCGCATGATGTTCTACAGGGTGGCGATAAATAATTTTGGCGAGATAGTATTGCCTTCCCTAACTCCTCTTTTAACGTCGATGTTAATATCGCTGTAGAATGATGATATCTTCGTTGCGAAATTTTTGTACAGATCACGAAGAATATTTATGTACTGAGCAGGGACTCCTTGACTATCAAGGACTTCCATGACTTCTTCTATCTCAATTGAATCAAAGGCCCTTAAACCGATGAAAGTGAGACAGAGCAGTCTTTTGTACTCTGGCGATACCTCAGTTAGTCTTGTTATCGTGTGGATGTGGTCTATCGTACTAAATCCTTTTCGAAACCCTGCTTGCTCACATGACTGTCTTTCGTCTAGTGTTCTGTCAATCCTGTTTAGGATAACTCGAGTGAAAAGTTTATAGACGACAGACAGCAAGCAGATTGTGTGGTTGTTTCCGATATCGGGTTGTCACCTTTCCTAGACAATAACACGGTCTTGATGGTCTTCCACTTAGTGACCTTGCATTCAGACAGGTAGCGTGTGAAGAGGCGAACCAGTGTTTACGAGGACTGGAGGATGGTTCTTCAGGTGTTCGGATTTCATCCTCTCCGAACTTGGTGCTGTTCGATTTTTCACCGACGTAATGGCATGTCGGATTTCGGAAGGGAGAACCAGGGGTGCAACATATCCATCCCCTTTATTTCATATGACGGAAGGTGGACGTGGCTATCGAAGAGATCCGAGTAGTATTCGTAAATGATTTTCTCCATTGCCTTTCTGGGCGCTGCAACTGTTCCGTCTGGGCGTCGAAGTGCAATCACCAAGTCTCCAAGTCTGTATAGGACGACTTCTTCTTCGTCATAGTTCGATGTCGTCTCATAGACGACGAAGAATGTCAAAGCCGGTATTAATCCACATCTTTTTAATCGTAAGCGTTCGATTCGGGTTGTAAGTTGTTCGAATGAATCGATGGTTATCGACAAACTCGTGTTGACGAGAACGCCGACGCGCTGACTCTTCTACTGTCGCATGTTCCGAGGAGCAGTTCTTCTCCAGTGTCATAGACGGCATTGAATGGGTGGCGTCGATTCGTTTCGGCCAGGCCGATGACGTCTTACCTTGTCCTTCATGCTTGCATGAGTAAGTCTTCTATCGAGGACTGGGATGCGAGTGTACGTGCGTTATAGGTGCAGATCGTCACCTTCACCTGTATCGCCTATAGTCCCGTTGATCGTCGAGTGACTCGAGTGGGCGCCGTAAATTTTCCATTTTCCCCTGTCGCGTGCAAGAGTAGCCCAGTGGGTTCTGCTCGCACTAGGGACTCGTCGAGGGTCATATTTTTCTTCTAGACTTTGCGTGAAGAACTCTGACCATCGGGTCGGTGGTCTGCCTGCAGTACGCTTGACATCTCCTCTAACGGTTCTTGTCCATCAGTTGTCATTCATACGCATTACGCGTCCAGCCCACTTTATCCTCAATTGTTTGGCGTACAGAATGGCATCTTTGATTTTTGATCGTTAACGCAGGTCGGAGCTTCGGATCGCATCTCTTACTTGTGTGAAATGGGATACTCCTAGCATTGTCCTTTCGACTGCTCGTTCGATAACGCCGAGTGACCTTCTATCCTGCTTACACAGTGACCAGGTTTCCGACGCATACGTTAGGGCATGAAGTACCGTCCAGTCGAAAAGTTTTTTTTTCTACTGTGTTTAGCATTTTGATACCCATGTATAGCTTAATAGGCTCTAAACGTGGGGTCGGGTATACTCATGGGTAGCTTGCCATGCTTTTCCGAAGTGGACATGGAGCTTATTTGTTGGATGCGACTCCTAACCGCCTGCCATGTACTTCCCCTGTCACTTGATTGCAGGGTTTTGGCCGAATTGACTCGTAGAACACAGTCCGCATAAGCGAGAACCCACCCACACACGCATGCATGAATACGCCTAGCAAATACAGAACGTATGTGCCAAATCGGTTCAACAGAAATAAGGAGTCTATATCCTGGATAAACCTTGCGTCTCAGGGAAGCAAAGGTCGCTTTTGGTCCGCGATTAACCCTCCTATCCACCACTTGGAGACGTGCTACGTAGCCTCGAGACTAACCGGCTCAAGATTCCTGATATGAGGGAGATCCGTGCATAAACACACATATGTGCTTGATACTTGAATGCACCGTCATCACTGGTTGTGCTGGCGCCATCATATTTTCTATTTTTCAGAGATTTACTGGTTAAGCCATTATCGTTCCCTGGAGTGCCGATGTCAGCCTGGCCAAAGTCTGCCCCAGGTCTTCACCACCTCAAGTAGTCGCAGCCGTTCTGGATCACAGGGAGATTTACTACCATGCGCCTTTGATACCAGGACGGTGTTCCATCCTGGTATTGGTTTACTCTTAGTTAGGCTTCCTGATGGAAACTCCGGGTTCCTTTGTTTAGGGGGCTCTTCCAGGGGATGAATTCCCTGCTGTACATCACAGTCCGACAGCCAGGAACACCGGGCTACGATGAGACGGTAAACCGTTAGGAGGACGGGCGTATATATATGTGTATATATACATATATATATGCATATATGTATATATATGCATATATTTGTCCATGTATGTATATACATATGTATATGCACATATATATATATCAGGCCGCCTACAATCCACTTCTGAGACGAATCAGGCCGCTCACAATCCGTCTCTGAAGCCTACCAGTCCGCTCATAGTTCGCCTTCAAGGCGAGCTAGGCGGCTCACATTCCGCCTCAGGCGAAATTCGATATGGTTGAAGTACCGGCCTATGTTTCTGTTGCATAGCGCGAGACTGCAGTAAGTGTTTCGGCATATTTAAGACTACATAAGCCTGGTACAATAAGCTGTTCAGTGGCCTCTTTCATTTTCCAAGCGGGGACCTTCGCTGTCGCTTGTCTTCCGTTCAGTTCTTTTTTATTTCGTAATCCATGTTCGTTCAACGTAACAGGTTTGTTTATAATTTTGCCTTCCCATTGTTGATCCATTGCGTATCACCAGATGTTCTGTATGACGTCTTTGTGCTGATCAGTCCCAAGTTTAATTTTTTCCCTGCTTCAGCGAGTTAAATAAGGTTTGTCCTTATGGTGTACAACAGTAGGCTAGTTGATTCTGTTCATTCTAGGAACCCGCTGACCGTCATATTTTTCTTCTGTGACGTTTGAAGATGACAATCAGGCCGACGATTTTTTCGATGTGGACTTGACATCCTGTTAAAGCTAGTCGCCATTGTCTGATACACACCGGTTGTTGTTCAAACGTATTGCGTATCAGGGCTTCCTGATTTTATCATGCATAGCGGCGTTTCTGGTCTTTGGCTGATGACATATGTCGGAACATCGAATTTGGTCTCTTATTTACAGGTTTCGGGGTATTTTAGCATCACTTTTTTGACTGCGCATTCAGTAGCGCTGAGTGACTGTTCATTTTGTTTATGTAGCAAACGCGTTTAAATATGTTATTTGTTGTACATTAAGGCAGGAAGAATCGTAGAGTCGAAAGAAAGGAAATAGAATGTTCATTTTTCTCCTCTGTCAAGATCTTCCCAAGCTTGTTACTTCTTTGTGCTCAGTTTTTAGGCTAGATCATTCATGCTGTTGAGTTCTCCCAGATACACAAAGCTATAGCATTTGGGAATATTCATTCGACTGAGCACAGGAATCCAAAATAAGTTCGTTTTTCATGAACATCGGCTTCTTAACTTCACGTATAGACTAGTTCGCAGGCGTCATTGGAAGTGAGCAGCATTTGTTCCGCCTGGCAGGTGCTCAGTGGCAGTAACAACATGTTTGGTGAAACGAAGCTCATATGGTTATCGACCATCGAGTTTCACTTCCATGTTATTCCACTCTAGTTTTCGACTACTGTTCTCGTGTGTTAATGTGAGTAGTTTTGGAGCAGTGCCGTCTTGAAGATCCCCTACCGGTACGAGTCGATGTTGAGATCGTTATGAAATATTGGTATTCTGGTTGTGGAATTGTTGTTGTTTATGAATGGTTTCCATATGTTTTAAATAGAGACTCTATGTTTTTACATAGCTTCATCACCGCTTTTGTTTCAACTTCTGTGAAAATTATGAACATCGTTTTGTATTTTTCTCACCCGATCTTTGTAACATTGTTCACAAAGGGAATTATTATCAACGAATCTTGTTAATTTAGGCAAAGCAAGAAGTGTACTAGGGAAGTAAAGGATTATCTTTAGCATCTACAACTTTTATAGGTTGTAGAAGTTTGTGTTTCGGAATTGGGAGGATCTGTTTCAGGGAATGTATTCCAGGCAATCGCTTTCTGAGTTTGAAGACGCAAGAAGGTCACGTAGCAAAGCTGAAACGGCAGCAACTGCACTTCAACGAATATACCCATGTATTGATTCAAGTGCTGTTTGCCTAACGGTTCCTATGCCTGGTCATGCTATTTCAGAAAATGGTCAGTTTCATGAAGTAAATGCAGTGTATCATTGATTCCAAGGTTAAGGGATGTTTAGTGAACTTTGTTGCATTGACGTCCCATACTGTCACGGGATTTTTATGTTATTTCACTAGTCTTTCTAGGTTTTTCTTTCATTTTTTTCAGAAGAAAATGCATTAGAACGTGACCTAACCATTATTGACGAACTTGTTGCAAACCACGATGTGGTGTTTCTCGCGTTGGATAGTCGAGAGGCTAGGTGGTTACCGACAGTGCTTGCAACTAAGCATGGGAAGGTTTGCTTTAATTCGTCTTAATTAGGTTCTATTTGTATAAGAGTCTAGAAAAAGTTGCTTTTAATCTTAACACTGCTGTTATGTCGTAGAATTATTTCTAGATGGCGTTTAGTGTTGCTCTCGGGTTCGATAATTACGTTGTAATACGTCATGGTGTGAGAAGTTACGTACAAGGTGTAGAATCTGGTTCTGGTATGTTTTATGAACTAATATATTCCTTTGTTTCCACCCCTTCGTTCACTCATTTGCTCATGTGAATAGGAAATTTAAAACGGTGTTAGGAGGATCAGTAAAGTCATGAGGCAAAAAGTAATAGGTTTCTTTTCAGGGGATTTATCAGCTCACGAAGGCACCGTTGTACCATATTCTGATCTGGCATGTTACTTTTGCAGTGATGTTACTGCACCTGGAAATTCAAGCACCGACAGAACCCTTGACCAGCAGTGCACGGTAAGACTAAGGTGATTTCGATCTCGGTTACATACCTATGTTAAGTCATATCTATGCTGATTTAGCAAGTTAAGGAAGTTGTTATGGTTGCCCATGCAGATGAATAGACTCAGTACATTTGCTCAATATTCGAAAGGCGGAAGATAAAGAAGTAATACAGCTGAAAGGAAACCCTTCCAAACGCTGTGTGCAGTACAAGCACAATGATGCTGAAATATTTTCAGAAATCCTGAGTGCAGGTGTCTGCGGTGGAGAATGAACGCACTATTATCCTTTCCGGAGGCTAATGCGTCCACCACTACACCATGCGGGTCCTTCGTTTCTCCTGTCTCTCAGCTACTTTTCTATCTATCAGTGCCATAAGCAATCACCCGTCGATATGGCTAATCTGGGGGCACAAATGGGGACTGATTCCAGTTAAGCTGCGGCTGTAGTCGAAATCACAATATGAAGTTTCAGTGCTGTGTGTACTATTAACAGTTCTCAATTTTTTATTCTGATATCGTCCTCTTTGCTCCAGTCATACTTGTTTCTTCTTCCAAGAAAGGAAATTTCTTTCTGGGTGACGTCATTGGTGCGAATCATTCGCTTTGATAGTATTTATAGGTCAGTCGTGCTGGTCTCTCTATGATAGCTTCGGGAATTGCAGTGGAAATGATGGCTTCGGTGTTACAATATCGAGATCCGTTGGCGGCACCAGCAAATATTGGCGAACCGGACGATACATCGTCTTTATTGGGTGCGACGCCACATCAAGTTCGGGGCTATTTATCGCGTTTCACTCAGGTTTGCGTTCTGTTCAGAGCTACTAACCAACTGAGTGGAATTGTTTTCTTCAAGCTGCTTTATTTTACATTTAGATGACTCCGTGTGTACGAAGATTTGAGAAATGTGTGGCGTGTGGCTGCACCGTTGTGAATGAGTATGTTACCAGAGGTGTAGAGTTTGTCAAAGAGGTTTGTTACACAACAGTATATGATTTGCATCTGTGGCTGTATTGTTACAAAACGATAATGTTTTCATAATTTTCCATGGGAAACTATTTACTGAACCCAGTTAAACGGAATGGATAGTGGTAGCGATGCTGACCACCACGAGCACGGTACTGGCTCGATCCCGCCCCAGGCTCACCAAGCCACTCATCTCTGCGGGTTCGGAAAATTGGCACCAGACTTGCTTGGAAAAAATCACTGTCTGCATTCCAATTGAGATGGCTCCAGCTTTGCTATCTGAGGACTCCAGGGAGGGGTGTTTCGATCAGCATTCTACGACATTCAAGATTAAATGGAAATCCTCAAGCACCAGCCGAAGCCAAGCGTAAAACTTGGAAGATATTCGATGACAGTGGATGCGAGGAAACGAATCGAATGTGAGAAGCGCTGGAATTCTCGCAGTAGACGTGAAGACGTGTCGTGTAAAATAAACGGTTGAACAAAATATTTAACAGAAAATTTACTTCTTTCTGAAATGAAAACTGTTTTAGGTGATGAATTCCCCAACATACCTCGAGAAGTTGACAGGTTTGGATCTCCTACAAGCTTCAATAGACGACGTTCACGTCGAGTTTAGTGACGATAACGAATCAATTATGTCTATATGAAGTCTAATAATCTAGAAACAGCGTCCTTTTCTTGGTTGTAAGTACTAATTTTCGTCTTCTTAAGATCCGTAAATACTCTTAATTCTTAGCTCTTCGAGTTTCCGGGCAACTCTTCACTTGCTTAGCGCCTCTTAGGTATCATTGATAAATTCTTTCATTCTTTTTTTTCACTGATCTATAGGCATTAGCGCTCTAACAGTATTGTGCTCCTCTGTGTTGAATATGGTATTTCTGTATAGATTTCTTCACACTCTTTGTACTAGTGTGTATTGCACTTCTTTGTAAAGTATTGTCTGATCATCGTGAATTTTATAACGCTTGGCCCATCAGATGGACCGAAATGTTTTCTTAGTTAGGGATACACTGTAACGTGTTTAAGACCATTTTCACTAATTAAGGACACCGTTCCAAGTTTTTAGAAGCCCTTTCCATTTTTCTATTTAAGAGTGTGCTTCACAGCCGTTAAAAGCCTGTTTTTCGTACTCAGCATAAAGTTTCAGGCTATGCGATCTTTCTTTTTTGGCACAGGGAGTATAAACATGCAGAATATTGAGTTTTATTTGGTGCTACTACGTTGATTCTAACGATTTAGTTCTCAGTGGGGCAATGAAGGAAATAAAGTGCTCTATTTGTCAGAAGTCCTTTGCTTGTCAAAGGTAAGTTGCTTAGTTCTGCTCCTTTAAAGGACGTTTCTATTCAAAGAGCACGTCTAGTTTTCTGGATGGAGGACGAAAACGGTGAAAGTTAGCGCAGACTAGAGAGATATTCTGTTCTTTGCTCTACAGTGTTAAGCGATAGAGTTCTCTAAGGCAGATTTCTATCATCAAAGTTACTGAGATAGACTGACGCTGATAGCCCATTTAGCTTTTAGGTATGTTGTTAAACATACGGCAAGAGTGCACAGTAAAGAAAAAGAAGAACGGAAACCGCTCGAATGTGCTATTTGTGGAAAGGTGAAGTAGACACATCATAGGTGCTTCTACGTTAAGGAAAATAGTGTAGTCTTTAGTAATTTCCAGGACCGACTTTCTGTTAACTTCGGCATTGACTGATAATTCGCTCTTTTTTTTTGATGGGTGCACACGAGGTAGTCACTACCTATTTATTGATAGTAGGTAACATTTGGACGGATTTTGCCTTCTTAAGACCGTGGAAAGGTCCAAGTTAACTGCAGTCCAGTCGTTCAAATAAAATAGCCTCAATGGGAACATCACGAAACTTAGAGGCACTCGAGGCACTCTGGATTAATTCCAGAAATCAGAAAATGAACCGCAGGGAAGAATGCCTCATTATCACGCGTGATATAGGACAGTATATAAAACTGCTTTTCTGATGTGAGGGGCACATTATACTTCCACGTGATTTCTGTGCGGTTGGACTCTACGTGACATACTTAGTGGAAACCTCATAGAAAGCGGTGAGTGTGCGAAGCTGTGTTCAAAGTGATTGAAATCTTGGTTTGGAGTTTCTTTGTTTGGTTATGGAGGCGTCTGGCCGAGTGGATTGCTATCAACTTGACCTTTCCAGGCTCTGAAGAAGGCGAAATCCGCCGAAACGTCAGCTTAATCGTGAACAAAGAATAATAACACCTCGCGTTTGCTCAACAGGAGTACGAGGAGAATCAGGAAACTTAGATTTCAATCACATTGAGAGCGAGAGAGCGTCTTCGCACTCACCGCTTCCGAGGAGTCTTCCGCTAAGTATTCCGTGTGGGGACCAACCGCATAGAGTTCACATGAATGAGTAATACGCCTCTTTCACATTAAAATACCTGTTTGAGGTAATGTATGATATCACGCATGATAATGAGGCATCCCTCTCTGCGATTCATTGTTGGGGTTCTAGAGTTGATCCAGAATTCCTGAAGGGTTTTACGCGCTGATGTCTTGGATCCCTGTGCGAGGATGGTAACTTTGCTTTAAAATCTGTCTCGATTCGATTTCGTGTCCTATGTGCGCTTAGTGGAGTATCTGGTATAAATTTATGTTCAGCGAAAAAGTATTTTTTCATACGGGAGGGGAATAGTCTATCCGTTTCGCCTAGGTATTCGTTCCCGCACGCTTTATTTGGGATCAGATAAACAATACACGAACTTTTGCAGTCAACATCTCTACCGTTAGGGCATATTATGCTACTTTCCTTTGTGTATAGACGGTCAATGCAAACTAGCTGCCGTTCGGTGAGCGTGTGAAGAAGGTGTTTTGTTTCCAGTACGGCTGAAATTTACGTATCATAGCTTCTTTGTTGTGTTTGTAGAGGAATTTGGTTGACTAGATTGCAGTTAACTTGACCTTTTCAAGCTCTAAGGAAGGTCAAATCTCCAGCTACTGACTTCCTCATTGGAAATCAAGAAAAAGCGGCTGTGAAGAAGGCGATGCTGCCGAAACGTCAGCTAGTGTTGTATTGTATTGTGTTTTTCTATGGAAGTAAATGCATGCTGTTTGAAAACCTCGCGTTTGCTGAATAAGAAAACGACACATTCATATTCCAATGCCAAGGTTAATAGAAAGTCGACCCTGGGAACTCTCCAGCTACTGTCAATAATTAGTGTAGTAGCAACCTTGTATGTTGTCATGAAGAAAACTTAGTGTTTATTTGGCGAATTATAGTGCTTAGTCCCATTGATTTAGTTAGTCTTCATTTGGCGTGGGATTACAGGACTTTCCGAGACTGTCTCATCTTCAACGTCATCAACTAATTCACATTAAGGAGAGAGAGTGGGGTTGTCCATTTTGTGAACAAAGTTTCGTTCAAAAGGTATGAAATTCTTTATTACTTTTTTTTTTGAAATGATCCATCGTAAGTTTATCAAAATATACACGAATATGCACAATTTTTTGCATAGTATGCATTATTCTCAAACATTTAATCCAAGCTTATGCTTTCTGCCTTGTAATTCCGTTGTTGCACCCATTCATTCCTCATTTCTGCACTTTTCTGTATCATTTTGTCGTCTATGTTCTTCTATATATCTTTTCGTGCTATTGAAATATCACTAGCCCCTCTGTGAACACATCGAGTTCTTATTTGACGATGTGTGTCGGCTACCGTTCACAAGTGTTAGTCTTCAGTCACAGGTTCTGCATCACATATTGAGTATACTTTGACACTTATATATAACTTGTATCTACCCATATTTGAGCATAATGGAATTAGAGAGCAGTAATTCTCCAACATATGCACTTTGATGTGTTGGCATTCTGTGCGCTTTCGCAGAGATATGTTAATTACCCTGCCCACTAACAGGGGTTTCTTCGGTAGGAGATCTCTTAGTCCTTTCTATTCTTTTTGAGCAAAAACGAGGTGTCATTTTGTTCTTTATTACTCTTAAGCTGACGTTTCGGTGGATTTCGCCTTATTCAGGGCCTGGAAATTTAAAATTGACTCAGTCCACGTAGCCTGACCCCTCCATAACCAAGCAGATAAAGTGCTAGACCAAAATTTCAGCCACATTGAAAACAAAGCAACTTCTTAGCACACTTACCGCTATCTATAACTCTTCCACTGAGTATGTAACGTGGAGACCAACTGCACAGAGATCTCATGGAAGCGTAATGTGCCTCTCACTTTAAAAGAACAGTCTTAAATACTGTCTGAAATCGCGAGTTTTTATGCGATATTCCTTTCTAAGGTTAGTTTTTGGATTCTTGCAATGTGTCCAGAATACCTCGAAGAGTTCTGCGTGCTGGTGTTTTTAATGTGTGAGGCATATTACGCTTCCATATGAACTCTACGCGGTTGCTTTTCACGTGGCATAATCAGTGGAAGACTCAGAGAAAGCGAGTGTGCAAAGAAGCTATTATGTGTTCAGTGTGGTTGAAATCTACGTTTAGTTTATTCTGTGCTTATGGAGGTGTTTGGTTGGGTGGATGGCAGTCAACTTGACCTTCCCAGGTTGTGAAGAGGGCAAAATCCGTCGAAACATCAAGTTTACCGTAATAAAGAATGAAGTAATGATTCGTGTTTGCTCAAGAAGAATAGAGAGAGTTTTTTGATCAATGACAAAAGTTAATAAAAAGTCGGCCATAGGTGTTACTGCGAGATATCACAGTATTCTGTAGACCAGTAACGGAAAAAGTAGGGCAGAAATCTTAATTCGGCAAAATGAAGACGTGAAGGGAAAGCGCATATATATAAATGCGTACGATTTAATAAAATATGCTACGACGTCTGAAGGTTTCGTGAACCCGGAAGGAGGAATCGGACAAGCAATCGATCCACTATTGGTGGACACTTCTAATCACCGCATACATACGCTGCTTAACATATCGCATAAGTGATCAGACTATCACAGAGAACAGAGATTAATATAGTCTGAGTTTATTCTATGGGATAAGAAGCACAGTAGTAGTGATGACCATCACATCACGTAGTCTGCGGCACTTGTTCTTTGTTATTGCTACGGGTTTCCCTTCGCAAGATAGTACACGGACCTAATCAGCAGAATAGTCTACAATTTTATCATTCACGACTCAGCAACCACTTCTTCATTCGTTGTTGTTCCACGTTAGAGCTGCCTATTAAGTTACACCTTGTTGATTGGCACAAAGAGCACAACAATTTTTGTATGCTTCCGTCAATTTTCTTTCGTCGCTAAAAGAGTAGTCAGGCATAACTCGTCGATTTTATCCTTGAGCTAAGTAGAAATGTACACATGCTCATTGGCTCCACCAGCGTAAAAGTTGTGGTTTATTTCTCACAAAAGGCCTTGTCTATATAAGATTACGTATATGGCGATGATATAGATCAACCATTCCAACGCTTTACCGCCTCATCTAACGTTTTCATCAGGTAGCCTAGCTAAGGGTAAACTAATGCCAGAAGGCACCACCGTTCTATCAGACTTGTCGCGTGGCAAATCTCCTTCTGACAACCAAGCGCGGCGATTGCTTGTGGTGGTGATGACCTGGGCAGTCGTTGCCCAGGCCTATCTCAAGACTCTAGGGAAACAATGGCTGAGCCAGCAAAACTCCAAAAAAAGAAAATTTTTCTGGGATCTT